TTTTGTGTCACCGCTTATCTGCGATTCCATGGCATCCCTCTTTACGCTCAAAGCACTGAGGATGCACTTTCAATGCTAAATCGTAACGGAATTAGATGGTTTTGCTTTCTAAGCTCCCTTGTCAGCCCTTATCAGATGACATGCCCTCCCGCTATCCACAACCAATGTGCATCAATGTTCCCACATGTCATCGGTCATTCTTACGAATTTTAATATGCTTAAAACAGAGTAAGTTATTGTTCAATCTCCTTTCGTATATTGTGCTTTGAAGGGGCTCAGTGTGTAATGATTAATAAAATGGATCTCATCACACATTCACTGTGGCCTCAGATCGGTAGAACAGCGGATTTTGTGTGACCCATACTTTGCTCTTAGTATAAACTGTGAGGGCACCTAGCAAATAATTTAAGAAGTTAAGTAATTTCAAACAGCCAACATGAAGATTAGGACGGCTAAGAGGCTCATCTCGACAGGTGCGCTACGTAGCAGCCCCCATACGATGTATGAACTTTAGATTATACTTGTCTCATTTTCTTCTGAAAGAAGAACTGAAAGAAACGCTCACGGAATGAGCTTGTAATTGCAGGCTTTCCTCTGCCGACATAACAAAAATTTTCATATGGTAGTGCATTATTGTGCACACAATGACCTTTTTTCATTTTAATTATCCTTCCTAGTGAGATTAAAAGTGCGTGAACAATATTGGAATGAAGTCCTATGATGGCTGCTTATGATTGCCCTCCTCTTTGTTGTCTGGGAAATGTTTTTCGTTTCGATAGCCTCGATAGATTCTCATAGCCCACCGCTAGCGTTTCCCTTCATCCTGTCTTCTCTTCATTTTTTTTCACTGAGCATAGAAGTTAAACTGAGGTCAAACGTAGCGGAACTTCAACTTCCACTGGACTTACTTTTGGGAAATTTCTCGGATTCTCGAACATTCCATTCGTCTGTGAGCCCCAGACTGTCTCAGGGAATTGTCGAGCGCTGTGATTAGAATACGCCGTGCAGCACTTCCATCATCCACACCATTGTAACCGATGACGTTAGAATGGGCCAGATTGCCGTTTTCTTGCATAATGTGTAAGGCCCAAGAGAGCAAATCGGACATAGCTGGAGAAGAGAAAAGGTAATTATCAATACTTTTTTGAACACTTTTGGTAGCATGCTTGTTTTCCAAACTTTGTATGTTGGTGGAGTAAAATCTCAGGTCACAGCTACCTTTTGCTTTTTAATACCAATTTTAATTTTCATTTTTAAGGCTCGAATAGTGAAAAAGTGAATGATGCCATGGGAGCACTAGTAGAAAAGTGAGCCTCATTCAGTAACGAAAGTTCTCCGGGTGCTTTTGAAGGGCTTTCCGAACTTTAAACGAGCTGTATGGCTGTTTTCAGTGCAGCGAATTAAAATAAAATGGCGTCCGTCTCGTTAACGAATGTTTATATTATCAGTCCATTTTCAAAAGCTTTTGAAAGAATAGGTTCCTAGGGTAAATCGATTCCGTTTTGGCATGCGCCCAATTCTCGACATACGTTCAGAGTCGTAGGGTAGTCCGAAGGCGTATGTGCAATATACCATAAATTACTGTGGCAAAATGTACATGCCAGTCTTCAATCTCCTAGAAGAATCGGGTACTAATAAACTGAAGAGAAGGGTGAAAACCTGGTTGGCCTGGACGACTCTACTTTGACCATACGTTGTGATAGGGCTCCATCTCACCTACACTACTTCCCCCTTCAATAACCATGGAAGAGGTGAAAATCTGTCAAGCAGCTTTTTGAGTTATGAAGTTTTTTAACTCTGGCTCGAAAGGCTCCAAAAATCAATCTGACTGAGTTATGCACTTACATACATGCCGAATCCAATTTTATTAGCGACATTTTCGTGGTTTCGTGGTCTTGGAATCAAAATCCATGAAGTTTGAGCTTTTCCAACAATTATGTAAATAATAGATTTTAAACGTTTGATTTTTTGTTTGATAAGGAAAAAAGGCTTCGATAATTGGACCAATTTTCAGAATTCTTCTCGCCTTCATTATTAATTACGTGGTTCAACTTAGATGTTGAAGGTTCAATATCGCTCAACAAAATCACAGTTACATTTAATTTGCCCGGTTATTACTTGAGCATGACATCACCATTTAGCATTATTCATACTTCATCTTAAAGTTTTATTATTCTGTCTAAGACATTCAAGTATGTTTTGTTTTCTTTAAGCCGCTAACTGTGGCCGTAAAAGGTGCTATAAAATATAAGGGCGGGTTCGAATGGGTTTATTTACAGATCAGCACTGTTATGAAAACGCCGATCCAAGTACTTGAATATATCAGTAATCCTTGAGAAGTTCAAGCTCCATCTTAGTTCAAGTCCGGCCCAATTTAAGATTAGGCTGTAGGTGCGCCTCTGCAGGCCTCTTTAATTACAGCAGAAAACCTAACTAGATGCTTAGAAAAAAACAGCAGACTTTTTTTCAAACTGTTTATTGAAACCTTCCGCAGAAAATGAGCTCCGAGTAAACTGACCCGCTTTTTGACCATCTTGGCAAAAAACGAGACCAGGCATTCATCTTTTTCATCAGGACATCTGATCCAAGGCTCCACTTGAGTACCTTATCCTTGCAGTTGTCTTTCTTCAGCCTTTTCTTTTATTGGTTCCAACATTTTCTGTTGTCTTCAGCTTCCTTATCCCTGCTCCTCAAACATCATGGCTTAGGGTATAAGAAATAATCGCATGGGGCTGATTTTCATTGTCAGAAAATTGTGGACAAATCAGCACGATAATCTTTACAGCGTTTCTGTTGCGCGCTTACATCGCACACCGCTAGGAAAGTCCGACTATACTTACCACCGCTGCCTATCACCATTTCGTTCAGATCACACAATATTTAGTCCCAGCAGATTCGGCTGACGTTTTCTTGTCTTAAGTGTTTGTTTAAATAACGGCTTTGTAGCGAGGAAGATTAGAAACCACTAGAAAACATTATTGATCAGGCTGGATGGGTCTCATGGAGAAACTTCATCAACATTTAAGGAAATACTGCCTTGTTCAGTTCCTGTTTATATTTATGTAGAAAGGGACAATGTTTATGACAACAAAAAGCCTGACGCAGGATCCACGCCGCCTACAACTTGAACAGGTTTCAATCTTGCCGTTGGAGCCAGAACATTTAGAATCAAAATGCAGGTTAACTCGCTGTCAACACAAGCGGCCGAGGGTTTGTCCTTTGCCTTCTCCGTTTCAATTTCGCGCGGTCGCTTTCTCTTGCTTACTATGTGGACCATGTCGACGAGATTTCCAGGGAGGGGACAAGCATCTAGGGATTCTTGTGTCGGCAAGCCTTTTAGGACTTCCTAAATATAGAAATTCTAGAGTTATTAAAGCATGTAAGTGCAAGTATGATTAAAGAACACAGCTATGAACAGGTAACTGCTAGGTTAAGAATGATTCCGCGCAAAGTTCATCATGAGTTCAAGCTGCCCATTGACTCGCTGTGTCGTCACATGTGGTCGCTGACGTCGTTAAGCTTCTCCAACCGGGCAGAATGAAGACAATGGTTTCGAGTAGAAAATCATATCGGTTTGAGGACTACAAAGGGACTTCTTGAGAATAAATCTTACTGGGCTGTATGCGTTCTTACACTACTGCCCTGTCGAATGCTGACCAAATGAGGACATTCACAACGGATGATAGGGAATGGTACCCATCAGTAACCCTCAAGTATCCTTATCTAAATCCTATGCTTCGTATCCTATATCCTAAGTGGGACCAGATTATTCCGACTGTCGATAGGTAGACGCTGATGGAGAGCTGCAGTTCAAAAAACTCTTCCTAAACGAGGGCACCTTCACGGAACATGTGTAATTTGCCAACAAACATATTGAAACTAATTTTTGGCGGGATGCCAACTTAACGAATAAATTGACTGATGTTCGTTTTCGACATTGACTTACAGCAATCATAGTTTCGTTAATCGCGAGCACCTTGAAATGGATTTTTAGTCATTCTTTCCCTCGAACATAGCAGAGTTTTGGCGGAAAGGTATCCGTTTATCGGTCAATTACCGGAGGATGGTAGTAGAGGAAGGGGGACGGAACATTCACCCAAAACTCGATGGACGCGGCAAATAGCTCGGCGAGATTTGTGGCGTTCAGGACGACTTTGACATCTATTAATGGGGCGCAAACTTGAAGTGGAGTGCATTAGTGTGGTCAGATAATCGTACTGATTGTTTCTACTTCAAATTTGGACCCCAATAATAGGCGCTAAAGTAGTTTGAATATCGCCGCGCGATTCGCCGCGTCCATCCATTTCTGGGTGAATGTACCCATACCCGTTGAGGAATATTGCAGATAATGCACTTTATAACGTTGGTTGTGTAGAAAGTTGTGTAATTTTGAATCCCGATGTCTGAACCGCACAATTTTTAGTATCGAACCTAATACCTCAACTCCAACCACAGGAAATAGGGTACAAAGGCGATACCATGGGATTTGGTGTCTTCCCATGAAAAGCCTTCCCTGAGGGGTCACATGTAGTCCACGTGAAAGCATTGGATTGAAAGTGGCTAAAAGATAATGAATGCTTCAATAATTATAACTCACACGTAAACGAATTTTTTATAAAACAAACAAAAAGAAAAATTGACTTCTAGAAGTCTGGACTGCTATAATTTCAACTTTACCCTATTGTTGCAAGTAATTAATATGAGGTATTACACATTATTTGATGAGGCAGTAGTTTGTCTTTGTGGAAGGAGTACTTCAGCAATTAACCCAGTTATTAGATGAACTCGAAAAGTTTCTGATAATGGTACGAAAAAGTTTGTAGGGGTGGGAGGGGACGGGAAGGATAGGGGTTAGAGGTACTGAAAAAAGTGTTGAAATGGTGGCGACGATACAGATGAAAAGAAAGAGTATAGAGAGACTGTAGTGAAGTTTTAAGAGTTCTCGTTTTCGATAAAATTACCCATCTACAAGTTACCTATGCGACAATTTCAGGCTTCATATGGATTGGTATCCGTTCACAGCAGAGGAAAAGGCACAATTAGTACGATCATGGAAGGCTATCGAATCACAGAAACAAGCAATTGGATGTGATATCTACGAAATGATATTTAATCAGGTTCGATTTTTACAAACAATAACCATCAGTCAAAATTTAAAAAATAGCTTATGAGCAAATCAGATCAGTAGGACGAGTTCATGGCTCCTTCCATCATAGAATTACTCATGTGGGGTGAGCCATGCTACTGAAAAGATGGAATATGTGATCTGATCAAGTAACCGTAATGGTATTGATATAAAGGGAAGCATCTCATTAGGGTCCGTTCCTAGACTTTTGGAACGTTGGCTAAGGGGCTTGCTATAGGATCTAGGGATTGTCCAAGAGTTCGTATGGGATCTGCAAAGTAATTTACTCAGATGCAGTATAACAATTATTGTAATGATAAAAACTGCCTCGTTGAATACTGGGCATCTCCATTCCTCTTTGAAAGTTCATCCAACTATGCATAAAACGTTCCCCTAACTGTGAGACGTGGTAGTTACGTACATAGTTTGAGGTGGAGGAGAACAATGTTTTCTCTATGCTTCTTTTGGCTCACTCCTGTTATGGTTAAAGAATTCTGACGTACTTTTTCTATAGGACGGAGACTAATGAAAAAACTTTTGTATTAATGATTGGGAAGTGACTACTCGTAACAAAACCCACCGTAATTACGGTGATAGACGGAGTACTATGTGATTACATTGACGCTGATAGGTTATTAGAGTCTGTCATCGTGTATGGTCACTGTGATTTGCCTTTTTTCTCAGATGCAGTATGGCAGCTAGCTTTTTTACACTCTAGTCTAGCTACGGTTGTAACCTGTAGGGAAATGCTTTTGATTGGGAGATTTACACACCACTTTGAAGAAAATCTGGACTAGAAGCAAAATTTTCGAAGCTACTCTCCTGAGCGCTGCAGTTATCAGGTATACAGTCTGGATGGGCCTAGTGCAGTTGGATCGGGAACCAGTTACCTTCTGGAGAGGAGTTCTGCTGGAATAAGTTTGTAACAAAGGTGGGAAAGAGTTCAAGAAGCCCTCACCAACTACTCGTGTTTCGAGTTTCTTCCATTTACTGCCTAATTTGAGCTCCCTCGTCGAGAGCTATTCATTTGAATCGTACTCCAAGAGTTCTCTTTGTTACTTACCCATCAACTGCGGATGGTAACACCGAAGATCACGCCCATCGACCACCAATCAACTAAATTTCACATCATTATTGATAAAATTGGTTGTAATAAGCCCATGAAAGTACAGCGAGATCTCGAACCATTTATTTATTTATTTATTTATTCATTTATTTTTTTATTTAGACATGTGCAGTCAGTACATGAACACAGCTTACTACAAAAACAAATCATACAAAAAAAGAGATCCAAGAGAACCACGTAGTAAAAGACATCAGATCAAAGCAAAAGCCAATGAAAGAGAAATAATACCTTATGAAACTTCCACTAAGGCAAAACTAAAAATGAGCCTAACCAGTGTAGCCCTCAGCCAGATATTTTTTCAGCGCTTTTTTGAACTGCGGCAAAGTTTAGACAATGACAGATTCAACTGCCTGTCTCAGTTTATGAACGTTTTATCTAACTGCTCAATAATTACTTCTTTTAGTGCCCAGAAGCGCGTAAACTATTTCCAAAAATGAAGTTCGTGAACTCAAAGCCAGACAAAAAAAGTTGTGAATTTGCCTTTCAAGGATTACGATTTGTACAGGTAAGCCTGAGCTTTTCTTTCTATTTTTTCCAATTATGGCTATCAACTTGGGTGAAGTAACTATTATCACAGGTTACACCCTCTACTGACCATAACTCGCTATTTTTGAGTCTTCATACATGTCCTCGAGTAACGTTATTATCTGAAACCTCTCTCATTCCGCTAAGGTTTCTGCTCCAAATCGAAGTTGTTCACAAAATGATAGCATAGGTAACTACGTGAAAATCCAATCCCTGGGAAGAGATTAGACACATGGAATACCATCCTTACGGACGTAAGCCACTACACTACAATCCATTTGTATACTCCCTCTCGCCTTCACGAGGCATTTACCTTTGGACATAGTCATATGGAAGGATATAAGCACTGAATACTCAATTTATGGGAACCAAACCGAAAAAGTCATGAACGCTATCAAATAGCAGTAAAAGCCTGAATTCGAGTCGAATGCACGAAAAAGCCTTACTCCCCTTTATCTTTAACGCCACAATTATTGAACAACCCCTAATCTATACATAGTATTTATATAATCCAAGTCTGCTATCTGGGATGCCGTCTTAAACTACACCTCCTTCGGCCGATTACTGGTTGGAACGCTGCCAATCATTTATGAACGTCGCGAACAGTCGTGTTTTCAAAAACTATCCCTACACCTTCTAAGGGAATTTCTAATTTCCACGGCAGACGCATGAGCTCGGCGTATTTTATAAGAGTAACAAACTGTCTTCAATCGTTTCTGATTGACTTCCTTCACTTTCTGCGTAACTGTCATTGGAAAAATGCTTGTTTTCTGGAAATATAATACCTATCCATCTTCTTCTCCCAAGCGTTAACCCCGTGCTTTTTCTGGGTGCGTTGAAAAAATGCTTTTTTGCAGGCCTGTCAGGCTGTTACCTTCCAGATCATTGATATTTGGAATAATCTATTGTAAAGAGAAAAAATTTTTCGTATTTTTGCAACGATGCGTATAGGGTTCTGCAGCAATTACTTACTCGCCAGTTTTTCTGCAGAGTTTTTCTGAATCAATGGCATTAATTAGTTCATTCGTTCGTTTTTGTTGCGAGTCTTTCTTTCCAATGAATCTCATGACTCAGGATAGTCACATAGATCCAAAGCTGACTTCTCCAACAGACTCAAGAGGGACCGAATTAAAATGCCACCTTGGCTTACAGAACACCACTTTATTGGTAGCCGTTTGCAAGAGAACCGTTTCTTTTGAGATCACATTAGCTCTTTCCCTGCAAAATTGTTACCATAATAGTAAAGGCACATTACTGCATCGTCGGAAAACGTTAAGTATGATTAGAGGCATTTCAATGCTGACGTATCCAATTTCTGAGCCAATATCCGTTTTAAGGTAATCGAGGGAGCCGTTATGTCGTTGGACAATTTGCCAGCATTGGATCCAATTCTCGACAACCTCGGGAGGCGACATGGAAAACTTGAAGTGAACGGGAAATTTCGGTCAATATCAGATTGTGAAAGTGTCGAGAATTTAATGAAGTTGCTTTATTTCCAGGACATATTACTGGTCTACATTTTTGGAATGTTCCATATGTATTTTCCGTAAGACGTTGTCAAGTTGCCGAAAGTTTCCTGACAAAGAGATTGACAGAACTATTATACTTTGGAGATATCTACTGAGAGACGTGATGAAGAAAATCAAGGTAGCATTGTGAAATTCGTTTCTACACAATTCTTTGTAATCGAAAGTATCAGGCATTGCATTTGGAAAAGGCTGTCTGAACATGTCCCGATGCACTGGGATTTGATTTGGTGACGCTTTTCTATGAAAGACTGGCATGCCCAACACACGAGAGTACCAAATTCTTAACAGAGCCTTGTCCCACAGGACCACGCTCAATTCTGTACGCTTACATAGGGTTGTGCAGGCCAAATTTTGGAGTGGAAAAGAAATGTATACATCCTCCAGAAATTTGTCCAGCTTTCAACCACAACTGAAAAGTCTCTCTTGCAAGATGTGGGAACACAAAAATCGTCATCTTTCGTGAAGTAATAGGTAGAAAGTTTTGAAGGCCTCATTGCATACACAGCGGGGAAGAAATCCTAGAATAACCTGTGCTGTAGTACTAATACTTCGATTTCCATCATATCAGACTGTTGGAAATATTCATCGGATTTTTTATAGCAAATCTGGACTGCGTGATTGCGATTTTTGTTAATTCGAAATGGGCGCATCAATTCATTCAAGTGATATGCATACTCTTCAATAGCCTAATGAACGAACCATTTTGAAATCTTGACCTTCGTACCTCGTTAGAGGGTACCACTTTTTGATTGAGTTTCCTTCTCAGCTTTTTGCCCAAAGGTGTTGTGGCAGTCAAGCCATGCATGCAATTTGACGTTCGGGCCATTGGAAATTTGCCCTGTCGCTACTCTTTTTTTTT